TTGCCGAACCACTTCTTAACCTGCAGCTTCTTCCTGCCAAGCATCTTCATCTCAACCTAAGGGGACAGATGGGTCTTGTGTTAGTATTGCAGAAAGCCTAAAACAACTGTGTACAAATATCTCAATCATGATGTGTAGTGATTCATAATCTCCAAGCAGATCCTGTGGTGGCAAGACAGTACCAGGTATCCATTGGCCAGAGGAGTGACCATTAGCCACCGAAAGACGCTTCTCTGGCCAATGGATAGTGTCTTGGAGATTAGAGATTCAGACACTAACAAGGCCTGTATATTTATACCTTGCTATTTGCAACATGTATACTATAATATGTCACCTTATGACTTGTTATCACTATCAAAGATGAAGTGATTCTTACATTGAGATGTTTGAAGCTTTTCTTCAGGGTTCCCCTGGGGCCCTTCACAGTGACCACTCGGGCATTGACAGTGACGGTGACTGGAATTAAAGAATAGAAAAACCTTATTAGAGACTCATGTAATGGTTAACGTGGCACCAACAATTAGACTTTCCACTTTGACATATATGCAGACATTAAGTTTAGATATACATAGAACTTCTGTATATGGTAGGGCTGACTCATTCCAAAGTAAGATTAAAACAAAACAAAACATATATCCTTACATAAAATAAAACTTAAATACTTACTCCCCGGGGGGATTTTCACCTCCTCACTAGACTTGATGGTCCTCATGGCTATAAAAAGAGGCACAGCCAAGTCAACATCACGTTCAAATACAGAAAATATATACAAATGCTATTTAAGCTTTTAGACTACTAGTATATTATAATTTGACAAAATGCTGAGGCTAAATTGTGAACTGGAGATTATACAAGGAAAACTTTTATTCTCACAAATTGTGAAACAATGATTTTTGACCATCAGAACTTGTACGTGTCACAAAACATGGACCAAATCTTGACACTCCTTCCCAACACGAATTACTCAAATAACATTTACCACCAGAACTTATAGCTGTATTTGCATTTCATATTTTTGAAGCAAATACCATACGTGGAAGGGGCGGAAAATTCATTTACTGTATCTTAAAAATATATAATTTTATTTTACCACGTTATTTTTTTTTAGGGTGCGATTTCTGTCAGTAAAAATTTGTTACTGGACTTGAGTTTACGACAGCGTTGTGCTAGATTCTATTTTACTATACACGCTATACAGTATATACGTTGTATCTTGACATGGTACTTAAGCTCTAAATCTTTTCGATTTCTACGTGTCGTGCATTCTGTTGGTAGCTAGGACAGAAATAAGTTAGGAACGATATGTTGTCCATAGTATGTCGCCATGTTGGAACTCAGGTCCTGGATCGAGTCTTGAAATCACGGCCCAAAAGCTGTCATACCAACACGATCCTACATAAAATAACGACCCCCACAGCACCATTATAGTGTTTCCTGTTGGTATTGAATGTTTTTCAGGGCTGATGATTCTACATTGGATAAATATTAGAAGGATTGTGAAGTAATTCCGTTTTAGGCTTACCTCTAGCGCAATGGAGGAAAGAAAGAGGAAGTACAAGGCATTGTGGGAGCGGAACTAGCTCGCGATACGCTGTGTTTGTATCCCGAGTACGGATTGGTTGGTGGTGACAGCAAATATCCAATCACAGCATCTGTTTAAAACCTTTGTAAGCAAGTTTTCGCGGGAAAACATGGCGGACAAGAAGGTGGGTCCACGCGTTCTGATGCGTGATTAAAATTCGTTTGTAACGATCTTACAGATGTTTCTGTACAAGTAACACTTGTCAGAAGCTTTACAAACACCTCCAATGATGCGATAACTTACTGCCAGGCGTTAACGTTGAAACTTGAGAGGGAAATATGAAGGGGGAGGGCAGTTTCCTTACCTTGATTGAGCTTGACATTTGTTGCTTTGCAGAGAATCGTGATAAGGTCTCATTCGTGAGTTTTTGTTAACTATAGCCGCCTATGGCAAAATACGTAACTTTACATAGGCCAAAACCCAATAATTTGAATGACAGCCATCTAGTCTATCCAATCAATTTTGAGCACAATGGCCCTACATTACGTAAAAAAATTCCCAACCAGATCTAACCCAACAATCTCTTTTTATTACAGGTTTGCGATAGCAAAACCTGTTCTATTTTACCTGGATTTTATGGGCGCCGCCATTTTGTTTCCCGTCATGCAATGGGGCAGGTCAAAGTTGAGTGAGGTGCATTGTGGGACCTGTCACAGGCCTACATACCTAGCGGTATGTTTGGAAAGAGCAGTAATTGAAAGCCTACCTGGTTGTGTGTTCATTTTGGCAGAAGTGTATAGAGGCGATGGCTTTGACGTAATAAAGGCGAGTCTGATTGTGTTTAGCACTTGACGTAATTTTCTTAGCATGACGGGAAGGAAACTTGGCGGACCTAATGCGGCGGAACTTTAAAGTTGTTTTTTTTATGATGAGATGGTGAGGCTTTGGTATTAGTAGGGTGGTCTTGAGGATCTTGTCGAGGCCGAGCCTAGGGACGACAGATTGTCCTCAAGTACAGGGGTTAGTAGGTGGGATAAGTGGCATGAAGTTTTGGTATGAGTACACTTCCTGATTTCAAGTTCATTATGGAAATTGTAAGTTTTTTTTCAAGCTTACCAGTCCATTATACAGTGACTGTATAGGCGTTTGTAAACGTTTTTACGACCTGCCTTTCAGGCTGCTTGAACTTAACAATGCCGTCGCTTGCGACTCTCCATCTGTCTGAAATCCCCTGTCCTCCACCCAACCAAGGAACATAATTGAAGTATCTGATCAAAACGTTAATTATAGCTCACTTTCAACCTATCCTGATCTAATCTAATTGTCATATCCCATAGCTCTGGTCATATCCATTAAATGACACCTTTTCCTTCTGTGTGAG